GGCCGCGTCCCACATACAGCAACTAGAAGGATGTGCAGCTATGACACCCAACTATCTACTGGGGCTTTGGGGGGAAAATAAATAAATAAAATCTTTAAAAAATAAATTAAATAAATAAATAAATAAATAAAAATGAGGCTACTAAGGCTCAGAGAGGTTAAGTAACCTGCCCAATGTCCCACAGCCAGTAAATGGTGGGGTTCCAACTCAAGCAGACTGGTTTCAGAGCCCACACCATACTGCCCTAATGCCCATTGGAGGAAAATGAGCCAAACTTTCCAGTCTTGATGTGAGGACAGAAGAGAGCTGGGCCTCCAAGGGGTGTTCCACAGTTACCCAGAGATGGACACCCACACACTGTCAGTTACACAAACACTGACACACACACACGTACGTGGTTGTCAATGCTCATCCTCCCTCCACCAACATTTGGGGTTAATGCGTCACAAATCCTCAACTCACACACTCGCTTCCAGTTTGAAAGTGGAGCCAGCCAGATGGAAGGGAGAGGAGAAAGAAGAGGGCAGTGCGAGCTCCCTGGTTCTAGACTTGACACCACCTCAGTTACTTTGCTCCCTCGTTTCCCTCACTTGACCCAGAACACGGGTTGTTAAGAGCACAGGCTTCTTATATCTGAACAACCTGGGGTTGCAGCTGTTGTACCACTTATTTGCTGTGTGGCCTTGGACAAGTTGTTTGACCTCTCTGAGCCTTTCATAGACGACCTACCTCAAAAAGGTTGTTGGAGGGTTGACTGAGATAAAACGTGTAAAGCACTTAGCCAAGTGCAGACAACATTTACACAATAATGGTAGTAATTACTGTTCCTCTCTCACAGGCCTGAAGTGGAAACTGCTAAACACCCACTTAAAAAATTTCACACCAGTTGGGCCAGGGAGGGAGGCAGTGGCTCCTGGCCCCTCCTCTCAGAGCTTGGGTGGTTCTCACCTCATTCCCTGCCCCCACCGGGACTTCTCTGTCCCTCCCCTCCAGTTTAACTGGTTGTGAAAGGCTCTCCAGCCCCGAGAGGACATAGTACAACAGAAGGGATGCAGACTAGCCCTTAGGAAGAAATTTCAGCCTGTCTGGAGAAGAGGGGAGGGGCGGAGGGTTTCCATCATCTGGAAGGCATAGGCTTTCAAGGGTCCATCTTGCCTAGAGACCTGGGCAACCCCACTGGAGCAGGGCCTCAGCAGCCCAGGAGCCTTTGGAAGTCTCTGCCTTCAAGCATGGGACCTGCGAACATTGCAGGACCTGGCCTGGGACTCAGAACGCCTGGGTGCCAATATTAGCTCTGGCAATATTAGCACTTCCTGTGCCTCTCTGGCCTCAAGAAACCGTCAGGCAAATGGGAATAATAACCACGGCCTGCCCACTTGAGTCGATCTGTTTGCAGGGTCTCACAGCTGTAGGGAAAGAAGGCCGGAGGCTCCCTGTCTCTGTGTGTATGTGGGCGTCTGCTGTCCCAGAGATGGGTGGTCCCATCAGAGACAGCATTGGTTATCTCTACTCTGAAAGGCTCTGTGTAGAAGAGGTTTGTGTGGAGGGGCAGACAGGAGGCAACTCCTGACTGCTGGCCCCTCTCTCTCTTCCTCAAGGTCAGAGTCAGAATTTCAGAGGTCATCTAGTTCTACTCCCACTGGCCCAGTCCTCCAGCAGCTTTCCCAGCAGTAGCCACAGTCTTTGCTCAGATACTTCGTAATGAGGAGCCCACCTTCTCGAGGCTGCCTCTGCTGAACAACGCTGGCAGTTAGAAAGTGCTTCCTTATGTTGAGCCCAAATCAGCCTTCCTGTCTGTAATCCCCCTCATGCCACCCCATCATGCGGAGCACATCTGTCTAGGCGGTCTACAGAGATTTGAAGACACAGGTCATATGCCCTGATTTTTCACAACTACCCCACCCATGCCACACTGAACTCTTCCTGTCACACCTCTGGGGCTTGTCCTATAATGTCGTACATCCCTTCTCTCCTGGCAAACTCCTCTGATTCTCCAGACCCCAGTTCACAATAATACCTCCCCTGTGAAGCTCTCCCTGGCATCCTCCCCAGCTCTTTACTCCCCAAGGCAGAGCTGATGCCATTATAAGTGGTTTGTCTGCCCTCAGCCTGAGGAGAGGGAGCTCAGTACAGCTCCGGAGTGAGATTGGGTTTCTGAGTGAGAGTGTGTGTGTGTGTGTGTGTGTGTGTGTGTGTGTGTGTCATTATGCAGAGTGTGGATCCAAACCTCTTCCTCCAGCCCCAATCCATTCATTCAACAACTTTTTTAGCATCTCCTATGAGCCAGGTGCTGTGCTAGGCTCTGGAGATACAGCAGCGAATAAAACAGACCAGGATCTCCCTGTCCACTGGTACAGATGCCCTCCCTCCTACCTCACAGGGAGAAGAGAGGCCATCGGCTGGTAGTTGCCTCAATGTCTGGCCATCAAACCCACAGACACCTCCATCCACACCCATCTGCCCTCTCCTCCTCCCCTCCAGGCCTAGAAGAAGGGATGAGGGCCTCCTGAGGCCAGCCCTCCTCCCTCACTCTGCATCCCGCCCCTTCACCTCCTCCCAGGCTACATTCCATCAGGCACCTGCCTCCTGATTCTTACACTGCTCCTTCTCTACTGGCTCTTCCCAGTGACGGAGCGAGGGAGTGGAGCAGTAAAAGCGGTCCCTTTAGGGTGCAGGCAGTAGGGCACTGTGTATAGAGTATTTAAAAACAGTGAAACTGACTAAAACATGGCCTGCTTTTTATTAGCAGCATGCATCAGCAATTCTAACCCACATCAGTAATAAAATACTTCTTCCTCCTGAGGCAGACTCTTCCCACTACCCCCGTCTTTGTACCCCACTGGCTCCTTCCCTCATCACATAAACAGGGCTCCCATCTACAGTAAAAATCCTGTCTCAACCCAATGTCCTCCTCAGGATACCACGCCCTCTCCTCCCCTTTCGTATCCAGCCTTCCAGAGGGTGGTTTACATTCCCTGACTCTAGCTCCTCAACTTCCTCCATCCTTCGGCCTGCTGCAGCTGCTCTCTCTCCATCACTCAACCGAAACTGCTCTCCCCAGGCCACCAAGCAGACATCATCTAATCCTCACCCTACCTGACTACTCACCCACACTGCAGGCCATTCCCTCCCAGACACCGCCATCCCCCTTGGCTGCCACGAAATCACGCTCTCCTGGATCCCTCCGACTTCTGACCTCTCCATCGCAGGCTTTTTTATGGGCTCCGAGGCTTCTACTTCCCTTAAATGTTGCTGTTCTGTGAGACTTCGTCATTGGCCCTCTTGCTTCTTACCTCTCACATTCTCCTTAGTGTGTCCCAACCACACCCACAGCTCCCAGTGGTATCCATCTCTCTGTTGCTGAGCTCCAGACCCACTTTCTAGCGACCTCCGCTTGAATGCGCCATGGACACCATCAGTTCGGTATGTCCATCCATGTCCCAATGAATGACCCTCTGTCCATTCAATCCTCCAGAAGCACAGGAGTCAAAAAGGACTCCTTTCTCCTCTCGTGTCACGTGGTCATCACGTGCTGTGGATGCTCTCTCATTATCATATCCATCCTCATCTCTCAACGATCTCTGCTACTGCCTTAGTTCAGACCTCGTGCTCTTTCTCCTGGACTGTTGTACCGTCTTCCTTCTGATCTTCTGGCTTCTAATCCTTCCTTCTCCAATCCTGTCTTTGTAATTGCCGCTCAAGGGGTCTTTGGAAAATACAAATCTGAACACGTCAGACCCCTGCTTCAAATCCTCCCCATTGGTCTAAAACATAAAGTCTAAGCTCTTTATTCCAAGGTTCAAGGCACTTTATCATTTGCCCCCACCCTTCTCCAGCCCCAACACCCCTCACACCCCCAAATGCCCTCTGCTCCAGCCATGCTGACTTGCCTATCCCCACCATGCTACATTCTCTCCTGCCTCCACGCTTCTGCACACAGTCTCTTAACTCAGAATGCTCTTGGCACCATCTCTCGTCACCCTTAGAATTGAGTTCCCCCTTCTGCAGGCTTCCTCAGCTCTCTTTTGATATGTATCACACCCTAGGGTAACCATTCATTCACCTGATACATTTCCATTGGGAACCCACCATATGCTATATCCTGTTCTGGACATTGGGGCTGCTGAGACTAATACAACCCATTGCCTGAGCTCAAGAAGTTCCTAGTCCAGTGGTAGAAGCACACCTAAGTAGACCACTGCATACCATGAGGTAACTGCAGAAATCGAGGCTGCACTGGGTGCTGGAGAGCACAGAGGTGGATCCCAACCCTACCTGGAGAGCTCAGGAAGGTCCCTGCCTCCAAGTTCCTTACTAAACCACAAGTTCCCCAGGGAAGAGATGGTGACATTAGTCACTTCCTACCACTGCATTAATTCCTCTATTAGATGTAAAATTTTTACATCTCTCCGTCTAAACTGTGAATTTCTTAAGAGCTGAGACTATGCCTGATTCATTTCTGTTGCCCTAGCACTCAGAAAAGCACCTGGCTTATAAAAAGCATCACTTAATCTTTCTCTGTTAAGTGCACATATCCATACCCCATCAGTCCTCAGAGCCACAGATAGGGGAGAGAAGGAGAGGTCTGTTCCTGGTGCCCCCACAGACCTGAGAACGCAACAGAACCCCCAACATGAAGGATCTCCTCCACGGGGCACAGTGACTCTAGTTCAGAGAGTTGGGTGAGATCTTAGTAGTCATCTAGTGAACCTGCCAACGTCTCTTTCTATCTCCCTGCCAGCCTCTAACTTGCATATTGTCAGTGACAGTGAGCTCACTCCTTATGATGTAACCAATCCCACTAGCCCATAGCTAGTAGAGTTGAGCTGCTTTGGAGTTCTTCCTCATGCATAGGGGAGGCAGCATGGTGTAGTAGAAAGAACTTGAGAGTTGGGCAAATCTAGATTCAAATCCTGGTTCCCCATTTCCTAACTTTGCAAGTGAAATGTTAATCTCTCTGAGCCTCTGTTTTCTCATCTGCAGAATGGGGATAATGGTAACTTTATCGCTGTGAATAAACGAGAAGGCCTGTGTGAGGTGCTTATCATAGTGCCTGAAATATAGGCTCCTAATGCCCCCTTATATGGAGTCAAACTCACCTCCTAGTAACTTCACTCATTGGTCCTGGCTGGACCCACTGGAAGCTCCACAAAATGTCAGGACTCCGGGGTCCACAGCCCATGGCTTCTCCACTCCCCCTCCTGCCTCTTTCATCTAGGGCGCACTCTCTCCCAATTGCCACCTGCGCGCTACACTGCCACACCACACCCCCTAGTCCGATGGATACCTTCACAGATGTCACCACGTTCCTGGAATCCCGCACTGCAGCTGCAGCGGCCCACGGGCACCAGCCACTCGCCATCGGCGCCGCAATGCATGCGCGGGGGGCTGCCGGGCTCCCCTTCTGAGTGCGCCACGCACGTTCCGGTCACCTCCACCAGCGTGGAGAAGGCGCTCTCAGCCGCGGTGGCTGGGAATACCGCCAGGCCCCGCACCGTGGCGCGGCACTGCTTGTAGTAGACGCGCACGGAGACCAGCGCCACGCATGCGCCCACGTCCTGGAAGGCCAGGTGAAAACCTCGCCGGCTGAGCGGACCAATCTCGCGCACCTCTGTGTTCAGCTTCATCTTGCGCTCGCCCAGGTCTCCCTGCGTGAAGCTCTCATCAGCCGCGATCGTGTCGATCTTGCGGGGTCGGCTGCCGCCTGGGCGGGGACGCCCGAGGCCCAGGTCGGCCTCGGTTTCCAGGTAGTAGACGTTGAAAGTCTCCTTGCAGGTGCCCGCGGCGCCGGGGATGCTGCTGCAGTCGCGCAGTGTGAACTGCAGCTCCACGAAGATGCGCTGCCCGCGGCCGCGGCTGATCCAGCCAGTCTGCAACCAGTTGTCCTGGTTGGGCTCCAGCACGTTGCACACCTGGTACGTGCGGATGGGACGGTCATGTTCATCCACGCCGCTGATCTCCTCCCACTGGGGTGGAGAACAAAGATGTGGGAAGCTCAGAGCCAAGGCGCCCCCAGGAGGTCGAGCCCTGGCGGTGACAAGCTGAAAACCCCCTTCCCCATCATTTCGCCTTCTCCTCTTCCCCCCTAACTCCCCATACACACCCCTGAAATTATTAGATGCAGAGCTGGGAGAAACGTTGGAGGCGACTGAGTCCAATCCTTAATTTTACAGATGGGGAAACTGAGGCTCCAGAGGGAGTGACTTGACTAGATATGCACACCGACTTAGTAGCAGAGCTGGGAATGATGCCTGGAGTCTTCTGGCTCTCTACCCAGTGCCCTTTCCATGACACCAAGCTGCTGTCACACTGCCACATCACCCTACCCCCACCCCTAAGTTTCCAAGCCTCTTGTAGGATTCCAAGTCTTGCTTGTTCTTTCAATCCATAAATCAACAACACTGCTTGTAGGACCTACTGTGTGCAAGGCACTGTCTAACATTGGCTCCATCCAGCTGCCACATTTCTGTTCCCAGACATAGCCGGTTCTCTTCTCCCTTGTCTTTTTTTTTTCCTAATAGGCCACTCTGGTTTGAAGCCAGGGCTTCTAGAGACCACATGCTCTGAGCAGCATTTTTATCTGCCATAACCATGGGGGAGCTAAAGGGACTGAGTCCTGGACCACCAGAGGATCCCTGGGACAGGGAGGGAAAGGTTACACTTACCCCATTACTTGGCAGTGCAGTCCAGCCCAGCTCAGCCTGGGAGGCTTTGGAATCCAGGAGGATGACTAGGGAGAGGGGAGAACGGAAATGTCAGAAAGCCAGAAGGTCAGGAGGGTGAGACCCTTTGGTGACCTCGCTGTAAATTTGCTAACTGAGGAGATGGAGAATGTGGCAAAGGACAGAGACAAATTTTTCCCAATCCCTACCTCCTCACGAGGTGGGTGTGAGTAACTCAAGTCAGAGAGAGGTAGCCACAATGATTAGGGAAGGAGCCTGTATTAGTTTCCTGTGGCTGCTGTAACAAATTGCCACAAACTTAGTGGCTTAAAACAACAGAAATTTATTCTCTTACAGTTCTTGAGGTCAGAAGTTGGAAATCAGTTTCACTGGTCTAAAGGGTGTTGGCAGGATTGGCTCCTTCTGGAGGCTCAGGGGGGAGAATCCATTTCCTTGCCTTCTTCAGCTTCTAGAGGCCACCCGGATTCCTTGGCTTGTGGCTCCCTCCTCCATCTTCAAAGCACATCACTACAATCTCTGCTTCTGTCATCACACCATCACCTTCTCCTCTGACTGACTCTTCCTGCATCTCTCTCGTAAGGACCATCGTGATTACATCAGGCCCATCCAAATAATCCAGGATAAATCTCTCCATCTGAGGATCCTTAACCACATCTGCAAAGTCTTTTGCCATTTAGGATAACAATCACAGGTTCTGGAGATTAGGGTGTGGACATATTTGGGGAGTCATTATTCAACTTGCCAAAGAGTCCTCTAAGACTGGCTCTAAAATGGGAGGGGTTGGTAACCCCCCTCCCCACCTCCCCAGGTTCCCTAAACTATAACTGAGTGTCAAGAAGAGGGAGGAAGTGAGCATATGAGAGGATTCCTGTATTCATCCCTGAATCCACTGATACTCAGGGGCTCTTCTGAATTCCAGAGTCACCAGGGATGGAGGAGACTTGGACCTTTTTAGTTTGACTCCCAGGACCTCTGGGAAAAATGAAAGGGAGAGACCCTGCCAGCAACAGGAGAAATAAAAATCTCTCACCTGCTCAGCCAGCCCCTTTCCCAGGGGCTATCATCTCCACTCCCTTTGAAAGAATGTCAAATGTCCTTTATGTATAAATCCATGACCTCTCCTACATCAGGGAGGCTTGGAGTCACTTTCTTCCTCCAGGATGCATTGGACTAGCAATCTGAATTCTGATCTCAGTATCAAACTCAGAGAAGGACTGGTTTGGACAGCACAGCAGCAGCTCAGAGGCAGGAGCCCAGGCCATCCCGAAATCTTGGAAGATTACTCATCTGGAGCTTAAGCAGGGGGTGGGGCTCCAAGGTGAGGGCCTCTAAGAGAGTTGGCCCTAGCAGCGTCAGCGACAGTGGGCAGGACCACCGACAGCGTCCCGATTTCGGTATAACTAATAGCACATCGGAATTGCGTATTGGAAAGCGTCAGAGATCCAGCGCCCCGACCAGCCCCGCCGTCAATGCCTCAGATTCCAGCTCCTCAAGATTCTGCACCTGGTTATGATGCCTCTGGATTCAAAGGAGCGCGAAGCTCCTTCAAATCCAGAATTAAAGGCGAGACGCAGGCTCCGGACCGAGCCGGCTAGTCTACGCTCCAAATTCAGCACTGCGGACAGCTCCCTATCAGCACGTCGGACACCTCCCAGCCCCAGTCCTCTCCTCCCCCCGCCGCCAGCGCTCCACATCCTGTTGGCCACACAGTGGTCATCTAGCCCCCGCTATTCGGACTCCATCCCGTCCCCCCATACTCTGATCTCACCTCCGCATCTGTCTCCTCTGTTCTCTTCATCTCCCCGCCCCCACATCTCCCACCTCCAATCGCTCAGCCTGTCCGTCTCACCGGCCCTTGAATCGCCACCTCTGGCTCCCACGGTTCCAGGTCTCTGTCTTCCCCAGCCTCCGAGGTCTCCAGCCCCAGAGCTCTTCAGTGCCACTCTCGTATCCATTGCTTAGCCACGTTTTTCTCTGTCCAGTTCTTTGCTTCCTCCGGCCGCTTGCTTCAAACCCCAATACAGACTCCAGCCTCTCCATATGACCCCTTCCCTCAGCACCCCAGTTCTCCAGCCCCCTATCTGTTGGAATCCCACGCTCCAAGAACAGCCACCAGGCTACTCACCTTCCTCGGCGGTCCCGGGCCTCCCTGGTCCCAAAAGCAACGCGAGACAGAGTGGCATCAGGCAGACGAACAGGCGCAGCGGATGTGGGCCAGCGCCGGTCTCCATGGTCCGCAGACCGAGCTGTCAGTGCGGCGGCGGCTCAAACCGCGCCAGCCCCAGCAGCGCTGAGCAGTGCCCCCAGACTCCAGAGCCGGCTGGGGGCGGGATCTCGCCGGTTACCATCATCCATGGGGACCAATCACTAGGCACCACCGAGGCAGGTCCACCAATCCTCGCCAGCAGAAGGTGGAGGGGTGGAGTTTCATACGCCAGGGGCGGAACAGCGAACTGGAGGGGGAAGGAAAGGGTCCCGCCAATCTCCAAATCGTGGGGGTAGGGCAGCGCTGATCGCTGGCCGGGCTCCTGGGGAGGAGGATGAGCTGGCGTCGGTAGCCCAGAGCGCTAAACCTTAGCCTCTCATTCCTGAGAAATAGACAATGTGGGCGTGGCTTAAGGAGGGGCGAACCTCGGAGTGGCAGCGACGCTTGCAGCCCCTGAGCTAGCCTGGAAGCTCCCCTGTTCCCAGGACTTGCACGGGGTTTTGAAGCCTGATGTCCTGACCCCAGGCTCTGGAGAGCGCCTCTATCTCCCAGCCCTTGGCTTCTTCCTGTGTCTGCGGCTCCTGGTGTCTCATGGCTTGATCCCGCCCCCTTTTCTCCCCGCCCTCATCACACACACACAGCGGCAGGAGGAAGAGCCCAAGACCGGACCCAGAGCTACTCTAGAAAGGAAAGCAAATTGGGAGACAGAGTCCCACCCTACCAGCAGCGCTTCCAAGGCTGAGAAACCATGGGGTCGCCAGGATGGGGCGGTGGTAGATTTTGCATGAATGATTGGGTCCTCAGGTTCTTGCTCCTGCTGCCAGGACACAAGCAGCACTCTCCACAACCACCCCACTGCCCAGTCTGCTCAGGGCCTGGAGTTCTCCGCTTTAAAAATCTCTCTCCGCCCACCCCAGGGAACTGGTGAGGAGCTCAGGGGCCGGGACTCCTAGACATCTACGAGAGAGGCAGAGCGATCCTCAGAGAGTTCAGCCAGCCCTGAAGAAGCCTCAAGAAAACGTGGAACACGACCTCTATCTAGTGAAGGTCATTTATATGCTCGCTGAGGGTTTAAGACATTGGTGGTGGGAAGGGCTGGGGCCCTCCAGGACTAGGGAAATGGCTATTGAGCGCCACCATCTGGGCTGAACTTGAGCAGAGAAAGCTCCACCCACCCTGCAGCTTTGCAGAGCTCTTTTCTTGGGGGACCAACCCCTCTCCCTTTGGAGGCTATAGTAAGCGGAGAAGACTTGAGAATGAATGTGAGTCCTGTATTTACATGACCTGTGTGGTCTGAGTGTCTGTTCATTTTGTGTGTATGTATTCCTCACCCCACGAACCAACATTTACTGGGTGCCATGCTCTGTGCTGAGGATACCTGGGTGAATTGCCCTGTCTCTGCCACAGTCCATACCTCCTTGAGCACGGAGTATAATGAAAATTCCCGGCATCGTAGAGCACTGGCCATTTACAAGCTGCTTTCATGTGTCATTTCTGTGTGTATGTGTGTGTGTGTAGTAGGTGTACACGCAGTCTTGCTCGCTCACGGACATACTTGCTGGACAGCAGCAATAGGGGGAGTGGCTGGGAGGAGTTGGGCTCCTTTGCCCGTAGAAAGAAAGGTCATCAGGAGGGGCTGGGGCTCCGACACCGCGGGAGACTGAAGCCCGCTGAGGAAGCAGAAGGAGGTGTGGCATCCGGCCCATCTTTGGACGCAGGTGGGGCCTCTGAAATCAGAGCTACCTGAAGAAGGGCTCTTACACCCCCACCTCCTTCCCATCTTCATTCTCCTCACGCCTGCTTTTTCCCCTCCCCCTCCTCCCAGCGCTGGAAGATGGTATTTTTAGAAGCTGCTTAGAGACCCAGGACTCCTTTCATTTCAAAATGAGTCCTCACTCCACCATCCCTCACCCCTCTCTTCAAAACCGGGTCCCATCCCCTTTGCAGTCTCTAAGGTGCCAGCCGTGGATTCTTACCTGAGCTCCAGGGGCTTCAGCCCAGAAGTTCTTACTCGTTATACTAAAACAAATGCAGGCTCTCAAGGATCGTTCAAAAGCCAAAGAGATGGGAGAAATTATCTGGGGAAAGCCACATAGGATGCCCCAATAAACCCTTGGCTGTTGGGAGTCTGGTTCCCACTCTCTCCCACCACACACACTTGCTGGCATCTCTGGGAAATTGCCAGGTTGAGATCCTAGGAATGAAGGAAAGAAGAGGAAAATGAGTGAAATAATCCTTCTCTTTCTTCCTCTGAACAATTCATTTGTAATAAAATCAGAATGGAGAGGCCCCAGTGTATGCGGATATATGCAAATCAGCCAGATCTTAATGAGTTGCTCCAAGGCAGCCTCTACTCTACCGGGAGGCTGAGGACTAGACTTCTCAGTTAAGAAATTCAGGAGGGCCCTGGAAGGAAACTAAGTCATGGTTTATTGTGAACTTTAAGTCCTGGAGGCCAGTCAACCAAGGGCCAGGTTAGATCCTTCCCTGGAATAGCGAGCGCCAGGGTGGGTGGCTGGGGGAGAGGGGGATTTGGGGGGGGGGGGGCGAGCGGGAGGAGGGGGTCGGGGGCGGGAAGGTGTTTCTGGCGGTGGTGCTGAATTGTCAACCCGCAGGTCAGGTGTTTCTGTCCGTGGTGCTGAACTCACCGGAGTCTGGCCCCTCCATTTTCAACTGGACCTGGGACTTCTCTACTGCCGCCCTCTGATCCTTAGCCCAGGGTTCAATGCCTACTCCTCCAGCCTATAGCCAAGATCCAGTGATTCGAGTCTCCAGGAGGCAAGCAGCCTTACTACCTGGAGTAAGAGCAGAGGGGACTGGAACCCATCCGCGAACTCCTGTTTACTTTTCTTCTCCTCCCAAACCCAATGTAGGGTAGGGTGGAAGGGATGCTTCTCTCCACTTCTACCTCACTATCTCCAGGATGATGGGGAGAACACTTGTTGGAGCTGAGCAGCTTAATTTAACATCCAAATAATGATAAGTGGGCTTCTGGGGGGCAGATTCAACTTTACTGCAATCTTCATCTCCAAGTTACTGCAAGTTACAATCCAGAGGCTGAAAATTTGATCTCTTCCTTTTGCACAGATGCAGAAAGTACATTCATCCTGGCTGGACAGAGAAGGTCATCTCCTCCCTGGAGAAGACTAAGATTGCTCCAAATAAATCAGGGCCAAGCCCTGCTCTCAGGAAAGAGGGCAGGGAGGGAGCAAGGAGCAGTGGGGAGCCCCATTGCTCAAAGGGACAATTAGTCTCTTTCCTCTTCCATTCCGTCTCCCACTCCCCAGCCTAAGAAATAAATAAACACACCCGGGGCCGGCCTGGTGGCGCAAGCGGTTAGGCGCGCACACCCCGCTGTGGCGGCCTGGGGTGCACCGGTTCGGATCCCGGGCGTGCACCGATGCACCACTTGGCAAGCCATGCTGTGGTGGCGTCTCATATAAAGTGGAGGAAGATGGGCACGCATGTTAGCCCAGGGCCAGTCTTCCTCAGCAATAAAAGAGGAGGATTGGCGGATTGGCAGATGTTAGCACAGGGCTGATCTTCCTCACAAAAAAAAAAAAGAAAAGAAATAAACATACCCAAGGTGAATTCTTTTATAGGACAATAGACTCACAGACAAAAATAAGATAAAGGTTATAAACAAATGTTTAAATTGTATTTTTCTAAGATAAAGGAAATATAAAACATTTAATCTATTGACTTTGAAAATTAAACAATGAAAACCTTTAAATTATCAAACACAACTACTTAGCCTTTATGAGCGTCTACTTCCCCTCTGTAAAATAGGAATGAAAATGCTTTCAGAGTTATTGTAAGGTAGAATACAATTTGTATGTATGGCCCAGCACAGTGCTTGTCACATTGATCTGGTATATTTTATTATTCAACTCCACGGTTAATTAAAGGGAAAAACAGAAAGAAAAAAAGAGGAAAGGATAAAGGAAGATTAGGCGGCAAGGCAGGAAACGAGAGAGAGAGAATTAGAAAGACAGTCATAGAGGAAAAGACAGAATGAGGGATAAAGAAAGAGACAGCTGGTTGGGATAAATGTGGCTAGAGAGCAGAGAAGCCTGAAGGAAATGTGCTTGAAGAGACAGGAGTGTTAGCAGGGCAGGCTAGTTGGCCAGCTGCCAAGTGGCCTCAGAGGTGACATTTACCTTGGTGAATTCATTATAGTCCAAGCTCATAAACTTGACTTTAATGGCAGTAAGAGAGAGCCTATATATTGGGGGGTTAGGAAGTAGATCATACTAACTCAGCTCCTATCCTGCTATCTGAGCCAAAGGACCAATGGATTAATATACGATGAGAAATAGAACTGCCAAGGAGCCCAGAATGCTCACATTGCCATGTCCAGCAAATTCTTCCCCTGTAGGAAAATGTGCACAGAAAGTCAATTTATGATGTGAGAGCTGCTTTGAGAGCGTGAGGGGAGGGAGTTGGGTGGTTTAAATATTTGATAGCATCAGGCTCTCATAGCTTTGTGCCTCCAAATCCCCAGTAGAGATAAACCTGCCACTGGCACCTGAGTGACTCTACCAGGGGCCAGGGCTGAGAATAGGACTCATCAACATATGCTTTTCTGACTGTTTTCTTAAAATTCTATTTCCATTTCTGAGCAGCCTATACTAAGATTGAAGCAGTCCTTTTAAATTTAAATGACCAAAGTAATATAAACTACTAAAAATGTTACAAGTAAAAAGTAAAAATATCTATTCATTCCACTCCACATAATCGCGCGCTCCACTTCAGTGGTCCGGGATTTGCAGGTTCGGATCCTGGGCGCCAACCTATGAGCCACTTATCAAGCCATGCTGTGGTGGCCTCCCATATAAAGTAGAGGAAGATGGGCACGGATGTTAGCCCAGGGCCAATCTTTCTCAGCAAAAAAGAGGATTGGCAACAGATGTTAGGTCAGGACTAATCTTCCTCAAAAAAAAAAAATTTAAACCATGCTAACAGATGGATATGTACCCTTCCTGATATTTTCTATGCATGTGCACACACACACACTTTTGTAGAAAATGAGTGGATCTGTTAGTGAGGTAAACATCGTTGATTATCTACCCAATACCTCTCTCCTCTCATATTTTTAATTGCTGAGACAGC